GTCTCACGGGATATACTGCCAAGTGCAGTGACTGTACTGTGCACGTTGTGGGCGAAATTATTATAATTATTATCATTAATTACGATAATGAACGATAAATAATTTTTTTTTATAAAAAAAAGTATTATTGTTACAGTCCCCGAGGATTGCTCCCGGGCCGAATCATTCACGGCACAGGCAGTCAAATAAGAAAGGATATCAACTGAGAAGCTTTGGGCAGGATTGGAGAGCAGAGGTATAGTCCCTCCAGATGTGTGTGTGTATATATATATATACATATATAATTTGGATTGCCTGGTAAAGGCAAGCCGAGGGGAGGAGGTATTGACGTTACACCCAGCACCAGGTTTTGCAGAGATTTCCATCAATAATTCATAACCCCGGCTCCTGCTCTTGCTGTGTTTTTTTTTTCCAAAGGCCCTGCCAGTAAACCTCGGAATATATACACCCTCAGAAAGGCGGATAATCCAACACACTACAGTCTCTGTGTGTGTCACAAATAACGAAGGTCGTCGTCCCCCCCCAAAAAAAATAACGCTTAATTTCTCCTCCTTTCTCCCTCTCCCTCTCTCTCTCTCTCTCTGCAAAGCAAAGGGGTCACTTTGCTCTGACGACTTCACCCAGTCTGTGTGTGTGTGTGTACTGTGTGTGTGTGCACTGTGTGTTGTGTGTGTACTGTGTGTTGTGTGTGTACTGTGTGTTGTGTGTGTACTGTGTGTTGTGTGTGTACTGTGTGTGTGTGTACTGTGTGTGTACTGTGTGTGTTTTTACTGAAATCGCACGCGATTTTTTTTTCAAGCCCCATTCGAGTCGTCTCAGAGCGCTTCGCAGAATGTCCCGCAAAGCGAATCGACTGCATATGTTGCGGGTAAACTTGCCGTTGGGTAACGATACCGTATCGTGTCATTACGATGGCGTTCTCCACCACTCTGTGCTCTGAGCTGTGGCTCTCTGTGGATGAGCTTAAATACCTATTCGCTTTAGGATGGGAAATATTTGGGGGGTGGGTGGGGGGGGGGGGGGGGAGTGGGATTTGGGGCAGAAACTCACCATCTCAAAGCCTCTGACTGTATTCCAGCGGCTGTGTGTTAATTTGCAGGTGTTTTGCGGGAGTGGAGTGGGTGTTGGGGGTGGAATCCACATCAAATCAGAGTTTACCTATTCAAGTCGCAAATTTAACCCATTAAAGCAGTAAAAGCCCCGGGAAGGGAAGGGGGGAATGGATAGAGGAGAGATTTTTTTTTTTGGGGGGGGGGGGTCGGGGTTTTGTTTTTGCAACGACAACTCCGACAGGAAACCGAGAGGGAAATGCAATGACTGTTTTGCGAGGTATCGACTACTTACTGCAACATCTGCAGATCAACAAAAAAAAAAGACCTCTGATTCAGAAAGTAATGGTCCAAATGTAATATTATTATTGGATGCGTTTAGAACAATTCTCGCACGACAAACCGGTAATTCTTATTGGTCCGATTCGAGGACAATATTATCATTATTAATAATAATTGATAATAATTATTGTATTTGGTACAACTCTGCATCACATCGATGAGACGCCTCAAAGCGCTTCACGACATATATTGTAAAGTTTCGCCCACAAAATACATCGTCGGAATATTTTATTCGGGATGTTATTTGGGGGAGGAAACACTTTTCAAATATATACACCGCACGAAAAAAAATATTCCCCCAACCCACCCACCCACCAACAAAATTCACTTTACAGTATATCCTGTGAAGACCTCTTAACAACATAAGGCGATACCCCAAATGTAAGGATTACTATTATTATTATTATTATTATAAAGTGGATTAACTGTGCATTTTGCGGGATGTCTGTTTTACAAAACTTTGGAAGATTGCGTTAATTAATATCTAATTTTTTTAATGCATAAAAATAGAAAGAACATGCATTAAAATGTCCAGACTTTTGCCCCAGACAGTCCATAGATATTTTGGGCTGGAATTTTAAAGATATTTTATTAGGTGCTTTCCCTCCCTCCCCCCCCCCCGATTTAAGACAGATCTGCGACAAAATGGGTACAAAATTCACGAACAGACATCCAGTACTCAACTCAGTTTTTGCCGATGGATTGGGGTGAGGGGGAGAATATTGAAGGGCGTTTAAGTCAACGTGAGAGAGACAGAGACGCAGAGAGAGAGACAGTGAGAGAGATAGAGTGAGAGCGAGGGGGTGGGCAAAGAGATAGATAGAGACAGAGAGAGAGAGAGGTATATATATATATATAGAGAGAGAGAGAGATAAAGAGAGAAAGACAGACTGAGAGAGAGGCAGACAGAGAAAGAGAGAGGGAGAAAAGAGAGAGGAGACAGAGAGGTTTGTAGAGGGAGACAGAGAGAGGGAGAGAGAGAGACAGACAGACAGAGGGATAGAGAGACAGAGACAGGAAGAGAGATAAATAGATAGACCAAAGAGAGAGAGAGAGAGAGATAGGCAGTTAAGAGCTGTGCAGAGATGGTGTCGCTCTGTACCTGTGTACCTGTGTGTACACAGACTCTGTTGATATAATAAAGGCGGGAAAGGCAGGGTAGGTCTTAATTGAAAAAGCAATTACAATAATTAAAGCACGTGGCGTTGGTAAACAGTACAGAAAAAAAAAGCACTCACTCCGGTATGTTTAACTAAACGATTGGAAGGGGCTATTCACCATAAAACGAGCGCAGGCAATGCTATTTCTCTCTCTCTCTCTTTCTCTTTCTGTCTCTCTCTCTCTCTCTGTGTGTCTCTTCTGATGCAAACACGACACCAAGTTGACATCCACACTCCCCACAGAGAGCCTTCAAAATAGCAGAGGTGTGTGTGTGTGTGTTTTCTCTTACCCCCTTCTCTGACCTACACAGCTAAATAATTCATTCCACTAAAACCATGCAATAAGAGAGAGTCTCAACATATAACCGCACCATAATGTTTCCTAGTTTAAGGGAGTTTTTTTTAATTCCCAATTAGGTGTCGTTATTTCCCAGTGTCCCTTTGAAGGAGGTAGGTCAAAGTGAAGCTCGAGGTTTGATTTCAGTTGGGAGGAAGGCGAGAGAGGGCCATCTTCAATAGGGATTGACATGACATGAAATGAATCAGGGGAAGGAAATGCCCCAGCAAAGCGATCGAAGGTTAGTTCATCTCTCATGTGTAGTATCCTATTCTCTCTCCCCTCTCTCTCTACACACACACACACTGAATTTTACAGGAGATATAAGTGTCGTGCCTTGAATCCCTCCCCCCCCCCACCACACACACACACTTGGAGTGTTAGTAACCCTGCAATCCTCTGCTTTGCTTCCAATGCAATGCACTTCCCAAAGGCGCACACAATGGGACTCAAACTCCCAATTCCAGGGGTCTATAAGACCACCAGAGGGCGCTCGAGTAATGCAACCCATCCCTCCTCAACCCCCTTCCCACCCCCCCACCCCCCACCCCCCCACCCCCCACCCCACAACCCCCCACCAACTCCAAACCGCATTGTCAACCACTGACAAGCAAGTCAGCCAACCGCTCAATCCCTGGCACACACCACATCAAAACAGTGGCTTTCTTATACACACACACACACACATATATATATCATATATATCAATATATATATATATAAATCTTCATATAAATCTCGCACACCCTCAGTTAATTCGTTCAAATTATACTCCGAAGTAGCTGAGAAACTCAACGCCTCTCACTCTCACTCTCTCTCTCTCTCTCTCCCCCCTCTGTCACTCACACACCTACAATCTCCAAACTAAACCCAAACTAAAAATATCTGTTCTCGAAAAAAAACACGAGAGGGAGAACCCGCTTTGGACAGAGCAGAGCAGAGGAGAGCACGGGTTAGACCGGGGTTATTGGAACAGATACATAGGGGACCAAACATTGGGTTGTGTATAAAAAGGGCGATGTGTTGTGTGTAGACTGGAAGAGTAATCGATCAAAGCGGTCCACTCAATTCAACCCCATCGCATTGCAACCCCAACGCAGTTGACAATAGGCTGTCTTTTTTTGTGTGTGTGTGTGTGTGTGTGTGTGGACTGGATGTCTACAATTAGTTTGATGTTATCGCTTCTAAACATCCTCCCAAGTACAAGAGGCAGAAAGTCTAGATATGATTTCAACCCACTGAGACACACTCTCTCTCTCTCTCTCTCTTTCTCTCCCTCTCTCCTCGCTAATTGTTTTTTTGTTGATGTTCAGCAAAGCAGTGAGATCGAGAGAGAGAAAGAGAGCGAGAGAGAGAGAGAAGGGAGAGAAGGGAGAGAGGGAGGTAAGGATGGGGGGGGGGGGGGGGGAATCTTTTAACGATGCATTCTTAAATGGATTTTAAGGTGCATTAAATCACAGTCAAGCGCTGATGGATGATGTACATTACTATTGTGGGTGTGTCGTTTCATTGAGAAATATTGGATTTGCCCACAACACAACACTATTGTGTGAGTGAGTGTCCGATCACCGAGGGGGTGGTGGTGGGGGGGGGGGGGGAGTGTTTTTTTTTCCTCCCCCCTTCGCAGCTTGACATTGTCAGTGCGAAAACCCCTTCAGCACAGACACAGACACACACAGACACACACACACACAGACACAGACACAGACAAGGGGGCGAGACACAATAACAGTCGGAGTGCATCACACCCCCTTCACAAAGCAGCAGCTTCGGGTTGAGTTAAAGAACCACCAACAATTTCAGGCAAGGTTTGGGGGGGAGGGGGTGGGGGGGGGGGTGGTTGTGTTTTTTTTGCAACATTCCTTGTGTGTGGTGGGGGGAGAGAAACACACACACACACACACACACAGTGTGGGGTGGAGGGGGGGGGAGTCCCGTACGTGTGGGGTTCGTAAAGGGACACAAAGAGATGCTCAGAATTTCCCTGTCACTGTGGTCTCTGCCCCTCTCTCTCTCTCTCTCTCATCTCATCCCCTTCCTTTCCTCTCTCCCCCACCCACCCACACCCCCCCCCATCCCTCCCACCCCCCCCCCCCCCCCTCCCCCGCTTACCTGCGAGCCTCAGCGCCGACATCCTCTGAAACTCGGGCTCCTGGAGCCACTTCCACATGCGCCTGAAGGTCTCCCGTCCGGACTTGAGTTTACTCCAGGGTTTGGGGTTCCTCAGGAGGTCGGAGAGGGTCCCCTGCGAGCGGCACAGCACCCGCTGCGCGAAGATCGCCTGCGGGATGCTGTAGCGCTTGAGCTCCGCCGTGATGCGCTGCGCCACCTCTTTGGTGTTGATCTCCTCCAACTGACCCGAGCCGGTGTGGGCTTGGGAGCCCGAGGAGGAGGAGGAGGACCCGGGCCGGTCCCGGCTGGAAGCCAAGGCGGCCGGTCCGTGAGGCTGGTGGTGGTGCCCGGTGCCCCCCCCGCCCCCGCCCCCGCCCCCGCCGCCGCCGTGGTGGTGGTGGTGATGGTGGTGGTGGTGGTGCAACCCGTTCAGGTGAGGGGGCATCATCCCCGCCGACGGGGCGCCCACCAGACCCCGGGGCAAGTGCTGCTCGCCCCGGGCGAGCATGGCCGAGTGAGCCTCGAAGCTGGGGCTCAGCATCTTCTCGTGGTTGCCGGCCACGGCCCCGTACGGCTGGATGCCCTGTTGGCCGCCGTGGAGGGAGCCCAGGCCGTTGCCCAGGGGGTTGGTGGCCAAAGGCGAGAGGCTTTGGCTCATGGAGGACACGTCCTTGTGGTAGGGGTTGTACAGGTTGTTCATGGGGGTCGGAAGCCCCCTCTCGTCTCTCATCAGGGTGAAGCTCCCGCTCACGTTGCCCGGGAGCCGCTGGTGGTGGTGGTGGTGGTGGTGGGGGTGCGGGTGCGGGTGCGGGTGGTGGGGGTGCGGGTGGTGGAACTTGTCCGACACGGTGGAGATGGGTGGCAGGGGCTGGAGTGGGGTCAGCGTGGTGTAGGTGCTGCTCATCCCCATTCCCGGGGGGGACTCGCAGGCCATGCTCAAGGTGGGGTGCAAAGGGATGGACAGCTCGGGTCTGTAGTCGCCGGCTCCCTCCAGGATGGAGGCCATGCTGGACACCATGGCCGAGCGGGTGGTCAGGTCCCGATGAGCCACCGAGACCGACTGCCGATGGTGAGGACTGTGGTTCATCAGGTCGCCAGTTTGCTCATGGCTCAAGCCACCGTGCAAATTCCCAATGGTGTCCATTGTAAACTCCGGGTTCACGCCATATACCGCTTTGGCCAGACATCTATACGCGTTGTTCATTCAGTCCATTAAAGATGTTAAAACTGGTTGTTATCTTTTTTTTCCTTTGGATGACTGTGATGGGGTTGGGGGTGGGGGTGGGGAGGGGGGAGGGGGTGGGGGTGGGGGGGGGGGGAGGGAGGGAGGGAGAGGGGTGGTGGTGGTGGTGGTGGTGGGGGGGGGGAAATGGATGGAATTTATATAAATATATATATGCATATAGAGAGAGAGAGAAAGATAGAGAGAGAGAGAGAGAGATAGAGATAATAGGTGTGTATTTATGATATATGCACATATATATATATATATATCTATATGAAGAAAAACAATAAAGAGAAATGTTTAAGGCCTCACGGGTTGCAAAGATCACCGGTTAGTCTGAGCCTGGGCAGTGCAGCTTCTCGCCATGTCCAAGCCTAGTCCTCCTCCTACGTCGACTGTTTAGACAGCTGGAGTCAGCCTGAGCCGCTATAGGCTTCTGGCTCAACCCAAATTGCTGGCCAGGAGGCGAGGCTTAGCCCCTGATTGAAGCCCCCGATGGGCCAATGCAACCCACCACTTGGCTTCTTGTCTTCCCACATTGGTCCTGGTCGGACCCCCATCCTCCAATCATCCCTTCGGAGGGCGGGACGTCCGTTATCGGGTTAGATTGACGGGTTGTGTGCATCTCTCTCTCTCTCCCTTCTTCTCTTCCCTCTCCAATAGCCATCACCACCAACTCTCTCTCTCTCACTCATCTCATCTCATCTCTCTCTTTCTCTCTCTCTCTCTCTCTCTCTTTCTCTCTCCCCCCCCCTCTCCACACAGCCTTCAACCACAACACAACGTCAGCGATCCCCCCCCCACCACCCCCCACCCACCCCCCACCACCACCACCAACATCACCATCACCATCATCCCCTTTTATCCTCTTTTTAATTAGAGAGAAACAATATTAACTTCCGGGTTTTTCAAGTAAGTCTTCTCTTCCCTCAATCTTCTTCAATTCCATTGACTGACAAGAACACTATGATTTGGAAGAGTCATTTATAAGGCTCATAAAATAAACCATCACAATAAAAAATTAAATGTACACAATATGTTCCAATAGACCCCCCCCCCCCCCCCCCCACCGCCTCACTAACTTTATTTAAGGAAAGTTTTTAACAGCTGGATGGCAGTGGTATATACTTTTACACAGGATACCGGCAGTTATAGAGCCTTTTGAAAGACATAGAGGGGGAGGGGGGAAAAAAAACTAAATTTAAGTTTTTTTCGGTGACTTTCAAAAGAAATGCCTTCTCTCTCCACAAATTCTTTTCGACATTTTTCGGTGAAACATCCAAATACGCTCTCACAAAATCTGTGCGAGTCACAAGTGACCGGATTGTATCGACCCCCCCCCCCCCCCACCCCCCTCCCACCACCACCAAATAAAAACTTTTGAGGATCGATGCTTTATGTGTTGAATATCTTGCACTCTGTGTCACATTCGGTTCTCAGCCCAACCCCCTTCCCCCTCCCCCCCCAAAAAAAGATCTAACGTATAAAATTATAATTTTTAAAAATGATCAGAAATCAAATGTAATATACAAAGAACCCCCCCCCCCCTTTTTTTTCTCTCTCTCTTGCAATTCGTGACACCCCCTAACAACGCATCCATCAGAGTTAATCGCTTCTTCTGGTTGACGTGAATGGCATCGTTACTCCTAAAGCGTTCAGCAAATGACTGCAGTATTTTTCTCGTGGAAAAATATGATATAAAGCAATCCACGTTGATAAGCTGTGATGCTTTTATCCAGGACTGGGGGTTGCATTAACCAACCAGGTATGAGGTTACTAACTGATTTAGTGAGTGAGGCCTTGGGTAATGTAAATATTACTACTATTACCATGTATTGCGTTATCATTAAATACTTTATAACTTGTGGGGAGTACAATTTGAGGTCCAGTGGTCGCGGTGAGGGTTTTCTTGAGGGTGTCCTCCTGGTTTCACTGTACCCTTCAGCTCTTCTCCACGTTAAGCATTTACAGTGATGGGGTTCCTTCGCTATCGCACAGCACTTTCGGACGCGAGTTAATTGAAAGTAGCGTTTCGCCTGATTTTAAAATCAATGGGATGTCAATGGTTGGGTTTTTTTTTAACATGTCATGAATGCATCGCAATACTTTATATATGTGTATATATATATTATCGGTGGGAAAGTGCGAGCAGAGAGGTTATAACACTACTAACATAATAATACAAATAATAATCATTTGCATTTCATATAGTTTATCAAGTTATGTGATAAGTGAATTGTTGGGGGTGGGGGGAATTGCGAGAAGGGAGGTTATAATAATAATCAATAATAATAATAATCTTTTGCATTTGATACAGCGCGTTATCACGTCTTCGAGACGCCTCAAAGCGCTTCACGGAATACACTGCGAAGTGAACATTGACTCTGCACTTTTGTGGGCGAAACGCAACAATAATAACAATAATAAATATTTTTTGTTAAAAAATAAAAATAAATAACCTTCGCATTTGAATAGCTGATCGAGCCATGCGACGAGTTTATGATTTTTTTTTGTGGGGGGGGGGGGGGGCAAAAGTGCGAGCAGGAAGTTTCTAATAATAATAAAAATATGAAGAAGGATAACAATAATAATCATTTCCATTTGATGTAGCTTTGCAAGTAATTTGATAAGTAAATGATAGAAACATACAGGGGGAGTGGGGGGGGGGGGATATAATGATCATCCTTGCATTCGATACAGCGCCTTGTCGCGTCGTTGAGACGTCTCAAAGCGCTTCACAGGAAATAACTGCAAAGTGGAGTGGCTGTGCATGTTGTGGTTTTTTTTTTGGTGTGTGTGTGTGTGGGGGGGGGGTGGAGGTGGAGGTGGAGGTGGGGTGTGTGTGGAGTGGAGTGGAGTGGGTGGGGAACACTCAGCAAATCAGGCAGTTTTCGGATTTCCAGCATCTGCAGTATTTTGCTTTTTTGTTGGGTTGTGTTGTGTTGTGTTGTGCGTTTTTTTTTTTTGGTTTTGCTGTTGCGTTCATCTGCGGGTTGCGACTTTGCAGAGAAGGTAGGGGTGTGGGTGGGTGGGGGTGTGGGTGGGGGGGTGTGGGTGGTGGTGGGGGGGTGGGGTGTAGGGGGAGAGTTGCGCGCAGATGTGCCCTTTGTGTGGGAGCAGCAATTACGCACAGGGTCGGGGAGAACGGCCTTGAAATGCGTGACCCAGTTTTTTTCTTGATTCCCTGACAGCAAAGGGCAGCGAGGTCTGACGGATAAATATCTATCCTTCCACGGACCTTCAGCTGCTTTTAAAAAAAAGTGTGCGAGAAAAACACACACACACAGAGACACACACAGAGACACACACACACAACTGGAGAAAGAAGTTATCAAAGCAATCTCTGCTCTCTGTCTCTGTGTGTGTGTGTGCGTTGTCTGTGCTGCTGTTTTGACCATAAATTTGTTGCAATGCAATACTTTGCAATGTTTAAATCTGTTTCTCTCTCTCTCTCTCTCTCTCTCTCTTTCTCTTTCTCTTTCTCTCCCCCTGTCTCCCAGCCTGTGTGTGTGTGTGGGGGGGGGGGGGGGGGGTTGTTTTTTTTTGTGTGACTGGTGTCACCGAGCTATCTGTCTTTGCTTTCAAAGCAGAGGACATCTTGTGTGGGATTAACTTTCTATCGTCGATGCCCTTGATATACCACTGTGTGCGTGTGCCTGTTCTCTTGTGTGTGTGTAAGTGCGTGTGTGTGTGTGTGTGTGTGTGTGTGTGTGTGTGTGTTTAAGTGTTAATTTCAAAGGTATCTTGAAATTATTTGATAGTCAGAGGCGCCCTTATTCACACGCATACAGTGTTATTAGCGGGTTTGTCTGCGTCTCTGCAAATCCCCGTTCTAGCTACGATTAATACAATATTATCACTTTATAATACAATCCTAAAGTGTTCCATAATAGTACAATTATCATGATTTGCATTTGATATAGCCGAGCAAGTCACTGAATGGTCACGCATGCAAACAGAGAAGGCGTGCACTGGAGGGAGAGTAAGAGAAAGTGAAACGGATCTGTTGCAGTTTTCACACATCACAATTTTTGCTGCTTTTTCTTCCAGTCGAAACGCACCTGTAATCGTTTCTTTTTTTAACAGACTTGTATGTTTATTGTGCACAGAAATGTACACACACGTGCAATTGACACCGTTACGAACTCACCGACCTATCTTTGCACATACTCTCCATGAACTCCTCTGTCCCTCTACCTTTCCTCCCTTCTCTCCCCACACTTTCGACACCCTCCCTCCCTCTCCCCACACATTCTCTACCTCCTTCTCTATTCCCCCTCTCTTCACCCCTCTCCTCCCCACGCAATCCTCCATCTATCTCTGTATTTGTGCGACACGTTTTTTGTTGGACAATTCTGTGTCACACTTTACACAGAGAGGGAGAGCGAGAGAGAGAGAGAGAGAGAGGGGAGGGAAGGGGGTGGGAGGGGGGAAGAGGGGAGAGAGAGAAAGAGAGAAATAAAATCGAATGGATTTTATTTTTAAATCCATTTCAGATTAGCTGACAACCACTCTTTTTTTTTTGCTTCCTCTTCAAAAGAACAGAGGTGGGTTTGAACCAAACAAACGACATAATGCAAATTTATTGTTTTTCTTCCAATTGGAAAAAATAAATTTGCATTGTGTAGTTTGTTGGTTCACCAGTTAAACCCTATTTCGATATAAAATGATGCATTAAAATACATCAATGGGGTTTCCATTGTACAATTAATCTATAAACTGAAACTGTCTTCCTTATATGTTGGCTTTAGGTTTTTCGATATGTACACACAACATATATATTATATAGAGATTCGCTGCAATTCACTGTTGTATAATTTCCAGCGATTGACAGGTACGATTATAATAGCTTCAAATAAATATATACACTGTATATCAAAAAAAAAGTTATCTGGCGATTGTATGTAGGAAGAAGGGAATAGAAGAAGTAACAGGAGAGGGTTTTAGGAGGGTGGAAGCTCACTTATTATAATAATATTAATTGCATTTGATACAGTG